ACAAAAAAGCGGCCATGCCGCTCTAGGATTGGGCAGAATGCCACCTCCTACAAGCTGCCGCCCCAAGCACCAGCTTGCTCGGCTGGTGCCTGGAGCCGACCCTGCCTAGCTCTGCCCCTAGATTGCTAGGTGACCTTGGGCAAGTCATTTCTCCCTGTACCTCAGTTTCCCCATCTGTAAAATGGAGCTAATGATACTGAACTCCTTTGCGATCTAGAGCTAGAAAGCTCTATATAAGAGCTAGCTATTTTGATTATTTTATTATTTCCATTGAGGATTGTCTGAGTAAGGACTATGTAAGAACTACCGTATATGACCTTTCATTTGTTGGCTCATGGGAAAATAGTGAATTAGACTTACCACCTTTATTGTGAGGAGATCTTTTTATTGGTCAGTCTTTATTCGGATCCTTTTGTGACCATGTCTCTCTCTCTGTCTAATGCTGTGATTTTAGTGTGAGTTCTCTATTTAAGGAGACAATCTTTGAAACACTTCGATATTTTGAAATCCATTTGTATTTGGGACGTTATAGACGTTAATATCTGACAGCACATTAGAGCAGAGAGTGCCTGGAATAATGCATCTTGGCTGTTGAAAAACCTCCTCTCCAAACACTCCTGCCTAGGGTGAAGAGCTTAATAAGATTCAAGGCAGTGATCTCCAAAGACATCAGCAGCACTTGGAGCCATACCCAGCAAAAGGGCTCAGTGGTATCCCCTGCTGTGCAGGTGAGTGCCTGCAGCAAGCTCACAGGAGCTATTGCAGTTAGCTCCAATACGCATGGAACTGGGCTGGTTTGGTCAAATTTGAATGTGCACCTTTCCCCTTCCTCAACGCCTGGTTGCAGGGGGGGCTGTTGTTGACGGGGGACCCCTTTGTCAATGGACCTAGGCAGGCCCTCTCTCCTTCTCCATTTACTGCTGGGTTTGGGAGCAGGTAAATCTTTAGCCTCAGGGGGCCACTTGCTGCTGTCTGCTTCTCCTTGGCTGACAAGGACAAAGCTGTTTCCCAGGATGAAAGCAACTAAGTCAGGTCATGCCTCTTTTTAAAAGCCTCCCCCAGCCGACTGAATGTCATTCCCCCACAGATATCAGGCTCCTCACAAAATCCCTGTGTTCAGTGGAGTCTGTGACTATGCCAGAAAAGCCGCAACCATGTAATCCCCAGCACTGCTGCGACGGAGCAAGACATCACAGCTGCAGAGCCTGGGAAGCTCATGGAGTCTTCATAGGCCAGCTGCCATGGTGCCCCGGGGGAGGGCCTTTGCTTGGTTATCTGGAGTGGCAGCATTTAGACCAGCCTTTCATCCCAAAGTTAGTGAGCCAAATGCATGTTAGGGTACAAACTCGCCAAGCAATTCTGCAGCCAGCCAGGAGGTCAGTTCTGCAGCCAGGGGATCCTGGGATGCACAGGCTCCGGGGGAATTAGGAGCGCACTTGACAAATGTTTAATTCTTTATTATTATCATTTGTCCAGATGCCCCAATCAGCATCAGGCCCCCATTGTGTAAACAAATGAAAAAAACAGCACATGCTGAGAGTGCCCATCTCATCAACAATACATTTTGCAGGTATCAGTGCATGGGCACAAAGAGACGCGTGAAACAGGCGTGAAAACTCATGACTAGCATTAAGGATCGATCTTTTTCTCCCTCATTATCTGTGTGCGACATCATGCCTAACCCCTTGCATATGTTCCATAGCTTCCTCTCTCATCCCACTGAGCTTTTCTGTTGAGATTGTTTGACTTTGTTTTTAAAATGACACTTAAGCTGATGCAAAGAAAATGAACCATGGTGATTTCTTCTACAAAAGAGAAATGACATCTGCCTTTGGCTGAGGTGATTGGTTAGAAGGCCTAGGTTCGCATTCTGCTACCAGAGTTGTAAAAATGTCATGCTGCCAAAATCAGAAGATCTAGGGTGGATTCTCACCTCCCTTTGCCCCTTGTTCCTTAATGTTAATGAAGTGCAGCTGCAGTGTATGCAGTGTAAAAAGCCCTGGGTTTTAGTATGCAGAATGCAGTGATGCTGCTTGTGTTATGATCAGGAAGGAAATACTATATATGAGAAACTATAAAACCAGCAGAATCAAGGACAATGGAGCAGTAGGTGGAGGACATTTCATAAATACATAGAATGCAAATACAGCCAGGCAGGTTTGGGTCTGTGGATCTCCTGCACCCTTTCATTTCTGAGAACCAGCCTTGCTGTAAATCTACAGGGCAGCCCAGGTCACATCCTGTTGCTGTTGGGTTCAGCCCTTAACATACTACTTCCACTTATGAACCTCAGTGAGTCTCAGGAAAGTGGCTGCTGTGCCAGGAGAGAAACCTGCACTCATGGACGGAGTGCTTGTTCCATTGACTTATTAGCATATTGGGAGAATGAAGGGCCATATTTTGAGATGTCCAGGCATGAAGCCAAGTAAGATATTCTGTCCTGGCATCAGTCTGATCATCAGAACTCAACAGAAGTTGTCTATGAGAGAGATACCTCTCCTTGGAGAGAAGGGGCTATAGATATGCTTGAAGGTAAAGGGATAAAGTTTATGGAACAAGGTGAGTGGGGAGATTGCTTTGGCTCATCAGTGATGCTACATGAAGCGGATTTGGGGGGCCTTGTGTTCAGACTTCCCTTGTGGGGACCACTCCTGTGAGTAGTGAAGTAATCACACTTAATGAGTCCTTAGTTTCTCTGCTGAGGATGTCAGCAAGGCAGCAAAACTGTGCCAGTTGTGGTGGAGGATTTTGTAATGTTCACACCTGTTCACAAGACCTGCACTGACCCGTCCCCAGCACAACTCATTTCTCTGAGGCCACAAAACAACCATCAGGTAGAAATGTCCCCCCGCGTTGGTACAAACCTGGGCTGGACTTTAGTGGTGAGATATAGATGAAATAGGCACATTTGCCCCTTTCCAGACACTGAAGCCTTTTAGTCTCTTCTTGGCTCATTAGCTTTTTTGGTGACCAATTGCCAGGTCACATCACTTAAGCAAGAGGGTAGCTTCACTGAAGCCAAAAGAGCTGTTGTTAAAAATGCAGTTGAAGCTCCCCATGGTGCTGTCTATTGGCTGGCTGTACTCTCACCCGAACTGCAGAGTGGGCAGATGAAAACCCTCATCTCTGGAGATAGTCAAATTTCATGAACTATTTCACCCCATCTATCTCCATATGGCATCTGACACATCACTCCCTGAGAGAGGATCCTCAGGAAAAAGCAACCTAGAGAAATTAATGATGTGATCACTCCAGCTAAGCATCTCAGCACTGGACCAGCAAGTCCCTTTGATGGATGTGGATGGCCTGCATTGCATTTCATGGATGGGTGAGGGGAGCAAGCTGCACTCATAATTCCCTTTAGGGACCAATGAGTCACTCCGTAACTATCCGAAAAATATGTCTGCTAGTTTCAAATAGACTGTGTTTTCTTTCACAATGTTCATCTCCTCTCCAGTCAGTGATGGTTATTTCCTGTGTGCTCCATGGGGGATAAGTTTTTCCATCTCAGCTAAGGGTAAGAGCACAGAGTTTTCCTTTCTTTTTCCAATCACTAAATGGAAGGGAGGAAGAAATATTTATACTGGACTAGAAGTTTAGCTTATGATGTAGATTTTTATAACCAGTTGGGTCTGTGATACTGAACGCTCTTTTCTGTCTTGATGACTTTCCACCTGATCAAGGAACATAGACTGTATTTTACAAAATGAAATAAAACAGAGGTTAGGGTATGTTCTGACATTCTTTTTCTCTTAGTTCTGTGACCAAATGGCTTGATTCTGATCTCACTCCAGTTTTACACTGGTGTATCTCTATTGAATTCAGTAGAACCTGTGTTAGCAAACCTTCATTCAAATTATGAGTGGCTGTTCGACTGTGTTCCTGTCCTTTATTATGAATTATTTGTTAATAGGTTTTTTCATACAAATTTGTGGGGGTTGGCTGTTCCTCATACAAACATCTGTATTTACATGCATACAAAATTATCCATCATTTTTTGTTATTTATAATTCATTATTCTGTTTTAAAACTTTCAATCATCCAATCAGGGAGCTGAAGCAATACCATGTCACAGAGGTGACCAATCACACAGCCCAATTAACAAATGACTAGCAAATATTGAAGGTGATCAGTACTCAAGTAACCCAATGGTTCAAAGTTGTTCATCCAAAGTATTTGATGAATAGTTACAAATAACAAATACATTTGCCGAAATCTGAATTGGTTCATGACTGATTCATTTAAAAAAGGGGAATAACTTCATCAGATCATTTATTCATAATGAATAATTCAACTAGCTCTAATATATTTAAGAGCACTATTTAATGATTTCCATGCCAATACTCTATAAATCTGACAAAAACATGAACAAGGGAAAAGATACAGTATTTACTGAAAAAGTTGAAAGGCTGGTGCTGAGGTTGTCTGATGAGACAGCGAATTGAAAGCTTTTACCAAGTTCAAATGTAGCCCCTAGCATTTCTTATGCATGAAACAACTAAAAATCATCCCACAGAGGAGAATTGCCAAAGCTTATATAATCAGATTGTACCCTCCCTCACCCTCCAAAAAGCAGCAAGCAAAATGGGGATCAAATTATAGAAATTTTAAGTATGTAACTTTCAAGATCAAAGTGCTTGCAAGGAAATCTTGAAACTTATTCAGCCCGGGGTGTGGTTTCGTTTCTCCAGCCCCTGTCATCTGCCCAACCTTGGCGGTAGTTCAAAGAAAAGGAAAAAAAAAAAAAGAGGGAAGAAATATGTTCCATATGAGGACAATATAAAGTTCACTGGGGACTGTGATCTGAGCACAAGTATTATTTCTGGCTGGGTAACAACTCCTCTTGGGCTTCCAACCACGCTCTTCATTCTTTGGCCATCAGAGACTTACCTTCCCTGTGATATTGCACTTGTTATAATGCTTCAGTTGAAGATCAGCAATTGACCAGCATTCTTTAAGGTATTTGATGCTATTTCAGCTTTGTGGTGTCATCTCTATAGTGTAGTAACATGCCTGTGTCTATGCCTGTGAACCTGGCTAGGTCCATTCCTTGCTGGTTTAATTCTTCTCGGCACTGTCTTTCTTAAACCTCGCTTTCTTCAGATTTTCATGTTGCCCTTTTATTATACCACGGGTTTATTCTTTGCCTGTTCAGTCAGGAGGAGGCACTCACTATGAAGATCCCAGGGGCGTTGGTGGCTTTGTTGCTCCTGGGGGAAGCGGTGTCTCAAAGCAAACGTAATTCCAAAGCTCACGTGAAGACTCCTGCCCAGAATCGAAAGGGCCCTAACCCAAGTGGGGAACTGGAGCACACTGCTGCTGAGGAAGATGTCTTTGTGGGAGTTCTTCCTCCTATGGAAGATGCCTTGGCATCACAGCTCAAAAGTGCCTCACTCACTCCTTGGCATGCTCAGAAGGCACCTGAGGACATGAAACTTTTCTTTCTGAAGAACCCCCTGGTCACCTGCAATGATGGGACAACAGCTGGGTAATGATCACGTCAGAACTCGCCTGCTTTTCACAAACAGTGTAACGGGAAAAAACTAATCTGATTTGTGTTTACTTTTCTTCTCCACCATTTGCAGGTATTACTTAAGGGAGCACAAAGGGAGCAAGAGATGGATCATATTCTTAGAAGGTACAGTAAGAAATGACAATTCAGTAATGAAGCAAGGTATTGTGAAGACAAGTCGGGCTTGATTCTGCACGCACATTCATCGATCAGTGTAACTCCAGTGATTTCAGTGGAGTTACCTCTGATTTACACCAGTGTGAGATGAGAATAAAGAGAGTCAAGAATCAAAGATGACATTGACTGAGTGGTATAGTCAACAATAAATTTTAATTCAATCAGATGTGATATGAAGGTTTTAAGACAAACTTCTTGCTCCCATTCAGGTGGCTGGTGCTGTTATAATAAACAAACATGTGATACCAGATATAAAAATATCCGTCGCTTAATGAGCTCATCTGAGTGGCCTCAAACAAAGAAAGGTACTTGCTGCAATTGTTGTATTATTCCAGGGTTTCTCAAACAGGGGTCGCCGCTCGTGTAGGGAAAGCCCCTGGCGGGCAGGTGTGAGCCCCGTCCGCAGGTCCGGCCGATCGCGGCTCCCACTGGCCGCAGATCGCTGCTGCAGGCCAATAGGGGCTGCTGGAAGTGGCGCGGGCTAACTGGCCGCCGCTTCCAGCAGCCCCCATTGGCCTGCAGCAGCAATCCGCAGCCAGTGGGAGCCACGGTCGGCCGGACCTGCGGACGGGGCTCACACCGGCCCGCCAGGGCTTTCCCTACACAAGCGGCGACCCCTGTTTGAGAAACCCTGTATTATTCCTTTCTTTCACACGGCTCTGTGAAAAGACAAGGGGATGGCTTCTGCTCTCAGCTAAACAGGTGCAAGTCTGGAATGACTCCACTGAAGTGAGTGGAGTTACTCTGGGTTTATGCTGATTCTGAGCAGAGAGGAAAACCAGGCTTTATGTTCCTGGCCGTGATTTCAGAATGTAACTCCTATAATTGTGATACATCAGGACTAGATTTCCATTGGAATCAGGTAAAGCATCTTCCTTGTGGGGAGGCCTCTGAAGAAGCCTTCATGAGAGATGTTAGGTTTTAGGCAGGATTTGAAGGAGGAGAGGGAGTGTGTTTTCAGCAGGTCAGGCATGGGCATGTCCCAAGCACCAGGGGGGTGGCATACAAGAAGGCCGAAAACTGAGTGGAAGAAGGAGACAAAAGATTTGATTCTGCCAGCTGCTGAGCACTATGGCAAAACACTTCAACACGGGCTTCACTTTAAGCTTGTGAGTGGGTCTGTTGAGGTACAGTAAGATGGTATTATGCGCATGCTTCCGTGCTTTCCTGGCTCCGGTCAGTGCGCAGCCAAAGGGAGCAGATAGGAGAAATGCCAGAGAGAAGCATAAGGAATAGGCAGAAGTTTTGAGAAGAGTGATGGAGCCTGAACTTAATGTGGAATGAGAGGGATGGCCTAGGAATACTTGGTCCTGCCTCAGCACAGGGGGATGACTAGATGGCCTATTGAGGTCCCTTCCAGCCCTATGCGTCTGTGATTCTAGAGGGAGAGGGTGACATGGGTGGATGACAGTCTGGGAAGAAGGTGAGACAGGAGGGGAAGCTGTGAGATCCTTACAGGGATTGTGCCTGCTTCTCGAAGCTGGAAAAGCTGCTGCTCTTGGTCTGGTTTTCTGAGACAGTGTCCAGTACAACATGTCTCTTTTGTGTTGTGTGTCTGTGACTCTAGGGACAGGCATTTTGTCTTCCCAGATGGAGGAGAGCCCTCACTGGTGGAACGCCAATGCAGTGTAAGGACCTTCCCAGGTGCTGTACTACCACTTACATTTCACAGCACCTTCTGGCCAGTTACTGCTCTGACTGTTAATTACAAATGACACCAAGTGACACCTCCTGTACTCTATGGGTAACTGTGTGGCTCCTCTTGAAAGGACTATGAGGTGCTAAAGTAAGGAGAGTTGGAACTCAGCTGCCACAGCTGGAGGGTGGGGATATGTAGTGACTCACTTTCATGTAACCTAATCTCACATCACTCATGAGGCAAAGCCGTGGATCAGTGGTTCTCAGCCTTTTCCATACAGGGAGCCTCCTGCCATCTAGCTAAGATCTAGCCAAGACCCCCCTCTCATTTAGCAGCATGGGAAAGGAAAGGTGGTAGCGACTCCCTCACACTTGTTTGTAACTGCATGCTGGGAACCTCTGTCCAAGATAATCCCAATGCTGAGGAGGTGATGTGGTGGGAAAGGAGTAGGAGTTTCTCCGGTCTATTCAGGGACTTTCTGATGACCATAACTGTGTGCCTTTCCTTTGCTACCTCTGCCTAGGTTTGTGCCTTACTGCTCGAGTGATATCTGGAGTGGAACTTTGCCCAAGTCACTGCAAGGTAGGCAGCCATCTTTATGCTGCTCCCCGCTTCTAGCAGATCCTTTGACACAGTCAGTGTTAACTCTGACTTTTTCTTCTAGCAGACTATGCCTTCATGGGATCGCTAATTATCCAGGAGGTGATTAAAGACCTGGTTCCTAAGGGAATTAAGCAAGCTAAAGTGGTCCTGCTTGCTGGGGAAAGGTAAGGATGGGCCTAGAGCTGTGAGAGTGCCAAAGTGAGAAGTTCTCAAAACCCTTCTAAGTGGTGTCATTAACTGCTTGTGCTTCAGTGGTACCCAGAGGCCCTAACCAAGATCAGGGCCCCTTTGTGCTAGGCACTGAACAAACACATGGTAAGAAACAAGAGCTTACAATCTAAATGGACCAGACAGACAGGAAACAGAGGTACAAAGAGTTGAAGTGACTTGCCCGAGGTCACACAGCAGATCAGTGGTAGAGGTGGGACTAGAACGTAGTCTCCAGAGTCATGGACCAGCGCCCTGCCCACTGGACAACACTATCTTTCTGAGCACGCTACCATTGCAAACATGTTCTGTACTAAATCTTGGGCTAGCAAGGCCTCAGCTGAATCTATCGAGGAAGGTTTCTTTTACTTATTTCTCATATAAAAATGACAACAGATTACACAGTATTGCTCCAAACCACTACAGCTTACAACAGCAGTCGGGTTCTGGAGTACTGCACTGGCTCCATACTGCAGTGTAAGGGATGTGTTGAGTGGCCCCATTGAAATGAGTTAGTGCTCTCGGGGCCTGCTCCAAAGTCCACTGAAGTCGATGGAAAGACTGAAAAGCTGTGGCACTTGAAACTGGACCAGGGGCCTGATTGTTGAAATCAATGGGAGTCAGGCCACATTCAGGCCATTAGAACCCCATCACAGTGGGCACTGACTGTTCTTGGTCTCTGCAGAGAGGCCATGGAGTGAATGGGCACGAAGCCTTAGATAGTCCTTTTTGCCCAAGTCTGTAGCACATTGACAAGGCAATGTGGGGAAGCTGGAGCCACTGCTACCTAGGCAGCATCAGTTCTGCAGAGAAGCAAAAGGCGTTGATGTCCAGGGCAGTCTATTGAGCGCTATACAGTTTTAGCAAAAATAACTAAATAAAAGCAGAGGGAATAAAGGAGGCAATGCCTGCACCTCCCTTAGCTTTCCAGTTAACTTCAAATATTTCTGTCCAAAAGCCCTTTGTTCCAACTCCATCTCTGGTGGGAACAGTGAGCAGGAGGTGGGATTACAATGATAGTGGGCTTTAAAGTGACTACAATGCACTGCTTCCATTTCCTGTATTTGCCGCCGAAAGAGTGCCTTAAGCACAAGCAGGGCTCCATCTGGGGACCCAGATAACTGATGTCTTTCTTCTTTTCAGTGCTGGTGGGACTGGTGTGCTACTGAACCTGGAGAGGGTGGCGGCCCTTCTGGAGGAGCTGGAAGCTGAGGCAGTCCAGGTCAGAGGACTTGTTGACTCTGGCTGGTTCCTGGACATTAAACATCCAAGGCAATCTGACTGTTCAGATGCTGCCTCTTGTGCCCCGGTGGGTGCAATCAAGAAAGGACTCAGGTACTTGAGCCTGTGGGTTGTAACCTTGGGGTGTTTTTTGCTATGCCTGCAAAATTTGTGCCCATAAAATGATTCAAATATGAGTTCTTGCACCTCTGGCTACCTGATCTGCACCTCCAGTCAGGTAGCGAGGGGCACAAGCCCTTGGACTGGCATCTGGAATTAAACTGTGCATGTAAATCTTGCAGCTGCATCTTACAACCCCAAAAGGGAAAATAACCTGCTGCAAATGTACCTCTCTGTGAAGGTCTTATAGACTAGCTGATCATTATCATGAACTGAAAGTTACCCAGCTTTACTCGCCATCACAACACCTTTAGGAAGAAAACAGGGATTGCTATGTTCAGAAGAAGAGAGCTTCCCTTGGGCTGAACAATATGCCATGAATTCCTTATGCTGGATGTATTGTGTTCTTCTCACACAAACAATTGGTTTTATTTGGGACAAGACATGTAGCTTTTATTTTATATATATATATATATATTTACATATTAGTTTAAGGTAACACCACCTCTCTCTTTCCCACTAATGTTTTCTGGTCATGGCTTTTTAGGATGTGGAATGGAATCCTTCCAGAAAAATGTAAACAGCAGTTCAAGAGAGTTAACGAGTGGCAGTGCTTCCTTGGAGATAGATTGTATTCATCCTTGAAATGTAAGTTCATCTTCTCTCAGAGTTTGGCTCTGATCCTGCACTGACATTAATTGGGGCTGGATTTTCAGCAGTGCTCAGCATCCAGCAGCTCCCCTGGTGCATAGTGGGAGTGGAGCATTTCTGAAGCTCTTTGGGGCTGGGACCATATTTTTGTTCTGGGTTTGTACAGTGCCTAGAACAATGAGATTCTGGTCTATGAGTGAGCTCATGGGCACTAGTGTAATCAGCATTAGCCTCTAGCTACTGGGTTTTTTTTGGAGCTGCAGGATCTGGCCCTGTATGCTAATGTCAAATACTGACTTAATCTACAACTTTCTAGGGTGCCTTTAATAATAATATTATTAAATGAGATATCCTATCTCCTAGAACTGGAAGGGACCTTGAAAGGTCATTGAGTCCAGCCCCCTGCCTTCACTAGCAGGACCAAGTACTGATTTTGCCCCAGATCCCTCAATGGCCCCCCCTCAAGGATTGAACTCACAACCCTGCGTTTAGCAGGCCAATGCTCAAACCACTGAGCTACTCCTCCCCCCACCCCCTTTCTTTCTTTCTTTCTTTCTTTCTTTCTTTCTTTTGCAGCTCCAGTTTTTGTGGTTCAGTGGCTGTTCGATGAGGAACAGCTGAAATTAGAAAATATCCACCTTGGAAGTCAGTTCCTAACAGAAAATCAATGGAACTACCTACAAAACCTTGGGCGAGAACTTAGGAACTCATTACGTGTTGTCCCGTCAGTATTACACTACTTTGTGTTGAATAAAATACCAAAGGTTAACCATCATAGAGGGCCAACTGAAGACAGAATTTGATCTTATAAAATAAAATGAGGTTACATATGCTCACCATCTAATACACTCCTGCTAATTACTGAGCCTGCAGAAATGTAACACTTGTTAGATGAGCTAATCTGGGCATCAACTATTAGCATTCCATTGGAATCTTATTTTATGTGTTTTTCTAAAAATCTGGGCTTGCGTGTGATTGTGATACAACTGGATAGTACCTGACAACCACTGGACTACTTGCGATAAGGCTTGTCTACATGATGGGGTAATGCATTATATGGGGGTGTGGTTTCTAAAGTGCACTGATGTGTTGTCCATTAATTGATCTATAGATCTTCTGGTGCACTTTAACATAGTGCTGTTTAGACAGCATTATGCTAAAGTGCACTAGGGAACTGTAACAGGGTGCTGGCCAAAAGGCACTGACTCAGCCCCTGTTAGCTCAGAGCCTGCTAGCTCAGCTCCCAGTAAGGGGAAGTGATTGGAGCCGACAGGCTGTGGCTGATTAAAGCCCTAAAAGAGAGACACCTGTGAGCTTGATGGGGGAAGGCCTATAAAGGTAGCAGAAAGGAAGTAGGAGCGGAGGAACAGGAAAGTGAGGAGTGAGGGCCTGTTGCACCCAGCTAGCTGTAAGAGCAAGCTGTTCCCTAAGGGGCTACCTGACTGATACTCAGGGCCGGCTTTAAGCTGATTTGGCCGATTCCCTGGAATGGGGCCCCGAGCCTAAGAGGGCCCCGCAACGTCCCGGGCTGCCGGTGGAGCGGGGGGGGAAGCCGCGTCCTGCTTCTCCCCCCTCCCTCCAGCGCTTGCGCTGCCATATAGCTGATCAGCGCAAGCCTGGGAGGGAGGGGCGAGGAGGAGGAATGCAGCGTGCTTGGGGAAGATGCGGGGCCAGGGCGGGGATTTGGGGAGGGATCCAATGGGGCAGTGAGGGGGCGGGGTGGGGATTTGTGTAGGGATTCAATGGGATGGGAGGGGAGCGAGACAATTCGTGTCCCGGCGTGGGGCCCCACACCTGCTAAAGACGGCCCTGCTGACACTGAACTGTATATAGGTGGTGGTGGGCAAAGATGGAAATAAAAGGGTGTGTGAAAGTGGTCTCCAGCGAATTTGTACTGTGAGCAACGAAGGGCACGTCTACAGGAACCTTTAGTGCACACCAGCAGGGTCTACATGGACCAATTCATGCCCAACATGTTAATGTGCTTTAGAAGTCACACACCCCTGGAGCACATTCCCCCGCTGTGTAGACAAGACTTTAAAAGGTACTACTCAAAGGGGCAGATCCTCAGCTAGTGTAAATAGTTCAGGGTTCAAATAGTTTAGGGTTCAAAAAAGAATTAGATAAGTTCATGGAGGATAGGTCCATCAATGGCTATTAGCCAGGATGGGCTGGGATGGTGTCCCTAGCCTCTGTTTGCCAGAAGCTGGGAATGAGTGACGGGGGATGGATCACTTGATCATTACCTGTTAGGTTCACTCCCTCTGGGGCACCTGGCATTGGCCACTGTCAGAAGACAGGATACTGGGCTAGATGGACTTTTGGTCTGATCCAGTATGGCTGTTCTTATGTAGTCCTAGTTTCACAGAGCTCTGACAAGTTACACCAGATGAGAACCTAGCCCTCTGTGAGCAAGGGTGTCACAATCCTGTTCACAGAAGTCAGTGGCAGTGGCTGGTCCCTTTAAAGTCCTATGTAAATACAGGAAAGGATGTTTTCACTAGGATGTGCAGAGGGTATTTTGTGTCACTTGTCTGTGTTTCCCTTTCTCATAGAGCTGTATTTGCCCCTGCATGTCTATCTCACACGCTGATTACAAAAAGGTGAGCAAAGATGCTTTCTTCATTTCCTTACCCTACAAGATGTCACCTAAGGGGATTAAATGTCTGTTCATCTTTCGAGTATTAGGTCATGTTGTTAGTTCTCAGCGTGACTCTGTCTAACAAATATTGTCTAGCTACACACATCTTCAGCGCGCCCCTCAGCCTGCTGCACCTTTATGTGCTGCCTGCAGGAATCTCATTGCTTAGGTAGATTTCTGCAGCTGTTCAGCAAAATGAAACAAATTAGTGCTGATGCATTACAATCCTGCAAATTCTTATAGCTCGGCTAGTGCTTATGGTCCTGATAGTCCAACTACTCCAATGGGACTACTCAAGTATTAAGTGCTGTGACCAATTGTGGTTGGAGGATTGGGCCCCAAGTTAATATTCCTAATAATATGAATCAGGGCCGGCACCAGCCGAGCAAGCTCGTGCTTGGGGCGGCAGATTCTACGGGGCGGCATTCCCAATTTTAGGGTGGCACGGCCGCTTGTTGTTGTTGTTTTTTGTTCGCTGATCCAGCTGCCCTGTAGGGGGCGGCAGCGCGAAGGAGGGGAGCGCCCTGCTGGGAGCGGGCTGCACGCTCCGTCTGCCCCAGCCGGTGCCAGGTCTGTAGCAAGCCCGTCAGGGCAGCCCGCGTCCTTCCCTCCCCGCTGACTGGAGCCGTGCGGAGCCCTCCCGGCAGGCGGCGCGGCGGTTGGGGCCGCGGTCGGGGCCGCGTGGCGAGCGCCCCGCTGAAGCCCTGGCTGCCCCCTTCTCTCTCTCCCCCTGCTCCCTCCCCCTCTCTAGCCGGGGCACATCTGCAGTGCAGGGAGTCCCCCTGCACCCTGGCTCCGGCCGTGCCGCAGGTTTTTTTTGGCTTGGGGTGGCAAAAAAGGCAGAGCCAGCCCTGATATGAATTATTTAATAATAATCGGCGAAGGAAAATCAGAACAAGAAGTCTCTCTCTTGAGCTAGCCCCATCTCTATGGGTTATTTGTCAATTTAATCACTTTTTGGTAATCATCTTCCTCCTCTTCTTATATTGTAGCTACTGGCTGGAATTTCAAGTGAAGGGCATTTCTTTGGCCAGAGCCTTGCAGTGCTGGGAGAAGAGCCTTCAAGACTGCAATAAAGCCCCAAAGATCCCCATGAGAAGTTGTCCCTTCCATCTGATTGATAACTGTCCATTGCCCCATTTCAACCCCACCTGCTCAGTTCTGCATGACCACGGCACAGGCCAAGAAGTGAACTTCATGCAGACTTTATTCAGGATGAGGCTTGATGTCCACAGGAAAGCTCAGGAGCTCAAATCAGGCCCCAGTCAACTGACAATGCTCAGTAATGGTGGCTAATGCATAATCCATGTGGGTTAATTGTAGCTTAGTGTCAAATAATGCTGATGTTGAGCAAAAGTCAAGGGTTTCCATAGAGTTTAGGCACATATTGGGATGTTATGGTTGTAATGACTGATGTTTATGTCAATCTTACCTTGTACTGCTGCTGTTTCAATCAGGTGAACTCACAGCCTCACTTGTACTCCACTGCATTTGACATAAGTCGCAGTATGGTTTGGAGGGTACTACACATTTTAGGGATTTTTTTGAGGGGTGGGCCAAACAAGGATGATTGTTGAACAATCTTCATTCACTTCCCTTTACACTCTGACTGAATACCACCAGATTACTGGGGGATTAGCTGAGTGGAGTCTTCACTTTGCATGATAACCTACAAAAGTATGATTTCCTGTTTTCATTTTAGCTCCATTTGCTGCTGCTGAGACTATTAATTAAATGAGGCATATGAACAAAATATTGACCAAGCTTTCAAGGGCTTTGACTCATTAGGATGAATTACTCTCAGATTGATCCTTCCTGTAGGGGAGCCCAGGAAAGCAGGCCGTTCACACTGTGCAGAGTTTCTTCACTCAGTTCCCCCATGTTGCCCAATCAAGGGAGTAGGTTTACCTCCTTGTGGAATGAACACAGGACTCCTCCAACAGACCCAGAGAGAGCTATGCAGAGTGGGGCTGATGCATACAAGGCCACCAGGGCTTTCCACATGGAAGCCTTGTATCTCTACCCTAGCTCCGGGTAGTTGGGTGGTCGGATGTTCTATCCCTCTACCCCAGCTCCTGGACTGCACAGCTTTATTGGCACCATACTCCCAGGACTTGCCCTGGAAACTCTCCCTTACAACACGTGTCTGTGGGCTCATAACACATAGGGGCTTTGTAACAAAATGAATGCAGCCACAGGCTACTATGATAAAGTCGTGGCTTACTGAAGCTCCTTCCCCAGTAACTTTCGCATCCCTCCTAAATTTTCCCAGTGCAGGATTTCCCTCTAATAAGACCTTTCTGCCTAGCACGCCTTTCTGAGCTTGGCCCTTTAAATTTGTTCGAGCCAACCAGCTGCAGCCCCACAGTGGTCATTTTGCAAATGGCTGTTGACTGCTGTAGCAGCATCTCTTCCAGCTGGTCAGGGCTCTGGGCTCCTGTTGTTTTGTTCCTCCAGTTCTTTCTTGTTCCTGAGAAGAATGGCACTTCATTACAGATGCATCAGATCGCTCACAGATTCCCTGTGGGGCTTTGATGATGGGGGAATAATGGCCTAGCCCCCTCCCTGCTGCTGGCCTTTCACCAGATCTGCCCCATCCCTTCTGAGCTGGGGAAGCTGTTGTATTTTGGTACTCGAACCTCCCAGCCACTTTTAACTGTTTAGTATTGTACGTGCCAGGGTCACATTAATGCCTTTGACTTTCTAGGCCCATTTATTCCACCAAAATTAATGCACCAAATCCTGGGAGTGGGCTAACCCGTGTGTAGCTCTTGGGGTGAGGTCTGGCTCTCTGCATGTTTTGCTCAGTGCTTAATTTGTGCCAGGGCTTGACAGCTAGGCTTAGCACCTCTGAACTTGCTGCATCAGTTATGAAAGTAAAAAAACCTACCTGAGCCCCAGCACCTCTTGCATTACAAATTAAGCTCCGGTTTCACCCCAGTGTTTGTTTAAAGTTGGGTGCTTTGTATCTGTGGGATCGTGGTTAAAGCCTTTAGGGAAGAATCTTATAATAGTTCAGTTTTGTTATTAACATTGAATGACTTATTTGGTGAGGCATTGCTCCCTAGCTGTTAACTCACCCGGTTATTTATTGTAAGTGCTCAGTCACATTGCATTAGACTGGTCACACTTTTGACTTACAATATTTCACATTTTTTTCCTAGGGCCTGATCCTGCTGAGCGCCCCTTACAGGGAGTTCAGTGACTTCAACTCCTGTTGACTCCAGTTAGGAGCTGAGGCTGTGCAGTACCTTGCAGGATTGGGCCCTTACTTATGCAGTCAGATTTCATGAGCCATCACTGTGATGTGAGGTTTCCCAGATGGGAGAAAGTTTCTTATATAAACTAAATGCTATCTACTCCACTGGAATGAGTGAAATTCATATGGCTGTGTAGAGGTCCTTTATTTATGTCTATGTAAGATGTTATAATTTTGATATTTAAGCAGATATTAATGGTGTATACTCTAGTGTAGTATGTTTGGTGTTATGAGAAATCATCAAAGGTTTGGTTTGTACCAGATTATCAGTAAAGATTCATTTAGATGGAAGTCTTTGCCAAAGGCTGTGTGATCCTGCAGATTATTATATAGTTAAGGGCCACAGTTTCTAAAGTGGTGAAAGTGTCCCATTGGGGAACAAAAATGGGCACAAAGCATAGGCTAGGCACTTGGGGATTTCCAAAGGGGCATGTTAAAAGCACCCCAGACCGCCTGTACCTGGGGTACAGCTGGACTGTAGTGATGGAGCTGGTTTCTCCCCAGGGATTTTCATGAGTGCAGGCTGCCTCTGAGACAGTTGAGCATAACTCAGACCCTGCCCCCTTGGCCCTGCAAACAGCCACACCAGACCAAGGGGCAATAGACAGTCATAACTTTATATTGTTTTTTAAAACACATCTGGGAAAAGTTGGGGCTCCATCTGCATGGCAAGGTAAAGGGAACACCACTCCTCCTGGTGGGTCATCGGCAGCAGGAATCAGACCTAGGGCCTCTGGATGTAAAAACATGAGCGGCTACTACTTGAGCTTAAATTGCCAGCGGTGGTCACTGTCGTAGGCTGTAGAGGCTCATCAACCTCTGTATGTGACCCAGCTACCGCTAGACGGGGACAGAACACTGCACTAGGTGGGTGGGGGTTACATAAAAGTCCAAATTACATGCAGACACAGTGGCGTAGGCAGGTGGAGGGAACATGGGGAAATGGTTTTACTTTGTGTAATGAAGTAAAACTATGCTATTTCCCCCCCCTACTGTTATTCACACCTTCTTGTCAACTGTTGGAAATGGGCCATCTTCATTATCACTACAAAAGTTTTTTTTCTCCAGCTGATAATAGCCCACCTTAATTGATTAGTCTTGTTATAGCTGTTATGACAACACCCATTTTTTTCATGGTGTGTGTGTGTGTGTATATATATATATCTTCCTACTGTATTTTCCACTTCATGCATCCGATGAAGTGGGTTTTAGCCCACGAAAGCTTATGCCCAAATAAATTTGTTAGTCTCTAAGGTGCCACAAGTACTCCTCGTTCTTTTTGTCCTGTCTGGGCATAACTGGTTTGGGATTTTGCATTTCACTGCCTCATTCAGAAGCTCCGGTGATCCCCCCAAAGCCACATGGTCACATTCCCAGTGTTAGTGCCATCACTGTGGTTATTTGCCCCTTAGTGATAACACCAACGAGCCACTTATCCTCCTGGGCTCATGTGAACATTCATGCTGCCCAATCCGCCCAGGACTGAGCAGAGTGGGGCATGCTCAGAGCATATCATGAGAGAGCGAGAGCTCAGCTGCTTTTGTGGCACAATCATCCACAGGCCCCAGACTGTGCAGTGATCCCTCCATGGGGAAGAAAAGGGTGGTTGCATGGCAAGGAATGGGGCTAGAGGAACATACATCATGCCCCTTCCCCAGTCCTCACAAAAATATTGGGAAACGTTAATACTGGATCCAGGCTCTTAATATTTCTGTGTTCAGCTGTTTGCCCTCCCTCCCAAGGCCATTTTGCTTGTGTGTCATTAGACATGGAGACATAGGTGGCCAGGAGTCAGTATGGAAGCACAGGGCCTTCATGCAGGCCCTGTGGGCTACATAGATTTAATGGCATCCTTGAGATCTGAGGGCATAATGGAAGAATTTGCAGGACACCCGAGGAGCATGACTTCCTGGCATTTCTCTCTTCCCCTCTGACCCCAGGCTCCCTCCCAGGGGTTTTCCCATGGGGAGAGAGTGATCTGGCCCAGAATTATGACGATAATTGTTAGTAATGATAGCAGAACTGGGATCATCTTATGATGCATTACAAACTGCTAACAGCTTGTTCCCCGCAGCGTGAGTTCTGTCTGACTTTGTGTGCTTTATTTCGATGAAGTCTCATCTTTTCAGTCCACTGCTGCAGTCTATTCGCCTGGCACAAAGCTCCAGCTCAAATCTAATGGCCAGTCTAATGGTACAAAGCAAAGTTAAAAGAGACAGCTATTCTAATGAGCAACACTCTCCTAGTTGCTTCCAATTCTGTACCAGAGTGTCCTCCAAGGCAGATGAGAGGCAGCTTATTGCTGTTACCATCTGCTGCTCTGCCATCGCTGCTACAGCCAAGATGGAAGTTAACAGAAGGTTGCAGTGTTGGTGAAACCAGTGAAAACTCACATCTCAAAGTTTGTGTGGTAAGAGTGAGGGCTTTTCTCTACTTGCCTTGAATTTGTTTTTCAAAGTGGAAGGCGGTTTGTGTCGTGGTTAAGGTGACAACGCTCCTTGAAGAGCTGTTTGACTTGCAAAAAGAATGAGAGAAATTCACAAGTGTGCGTGCATTGAATTTTTACGTGTGCTGGTGAAAATGATGACCCTCTGCCCTGGAGTAAATATTGTACTTGTGGGGAGAGAGGGAGAGAGAGAGAGAGTGTGTGTGTGTGTGTGTGTGCGTCCGTCCGTCCCCCCCAGTCCCTGATGACTGGGACTCTCCGTAGACCAATCCTTCCTGAAGAATAACCTGGGATCGGTTCAGGCTGGGGAAGAAGGCATATATCTGGTGGTTAGACCAAAGGGATTGGGAAGTAGGAATCTTGACTTTTACTCCAAACTCTGCCACTGATTCATTCTCTAATCTGTGTGAAATCACAAATTCTTGACCACTTGCAATACCAAATAATAGCACTGTCATGCAGGGGTGGCATGTTTGTAGAAATTTTGGTGGTGCCCAGAACCCGCCCCCGCCCAAACTCCGCCCCCCCAAACTCTGCTCCCCACCTGCCCAAGGCTCTGGGAGGGAGCTTGGGTGAGGGAGGAGGTCTGGGGTGCAGGCCCTAGGCTGGGGCAGGGGATTGGGGTGCCGGGTGCAGGCTCTGGGAGGGAGTTTTGGGATGGGAGGGGTGCAGAGGAATGGGGTGCAGGGGTGAGGGCAGTGGGGTGTGGCTGCAGATGAGGGGTTTGGAGTGTGGGGGGGCTCAGGGTGAGAGTAGGGGTGTAGGGGGTGAGGGCTCTGAGGCTGGCAATGGGGGGTTTGGGGTGTGGGAGGGGCTCAGGGTGAGAGTAGGAGTGTGGGGGGTGATTGCTCTGGCTGGGACTGGGGATAAGGTATTTGGGGTGCTGGAGGGGTTAGGGTTGAGGGTGCGGTCGGGGGGTGAAAGCTCTGACTGGGGGTGTGGGCTCTGGGGTGGGGCAGAGCTGGGAATGAGTTTGGGGTGTAGGCAGTGTCAAAGTTGGATTCAGGACTCACAATTTGTTAGACCACTCTGTTTATTAGCACAGCACTCTGCTAATACATTCAGATAATGTGAGCACCATCCAAGACCCACACTACCTTATTTTATACAGATAAAAAGGGTGCAAACTTAACAAGAGGACAAAGAAAGCAGAACTGACAAGTTTACCCAAGGCTAGACATACATATTCAATTTTCTTACTAACTTTTATAGATCTCCGGCTGATGTTCCACCATTAGCTTAAGTGGACTCATTGTTTATGCCTTAATGTTCCTTTTCCTGACACCTGTATTTCAGCATTCCTTATTTCTGCTTAAAGGTACATATAGCATTTCTTTAATCCATTCTATTTTTACAATATAATTCATTCTACTTTCACAGCAGGCTGCTCTGGGACAGGGGCCAGA